CTGGTGGTCCTGAGCATCTATTTGCCCAGCAAACTTTGCTTGCCTAATTTTTAAGCTTCTCCCATGTCCAGATTTAATGACCTTCAACCATAACCCAACATCATTTCCTCCCACCTTTCCAGATAATAGTTCCTTCTTTTGAATGACTTCTGTAATGTTGATTCACTCAGACATTCATTTAGTCAACAAATATTTATTGAACACCTGCTAGGTATCAGGTTCTGTCCTGGGGGCTGGTTTACCTCAGTGAACCAAAGAAATTCTATGCTCTCAAGGTCAAGGATATACTTCCCCAAAGGTGCTAATGAGAGAAGCAGAAGACAGGGGGTGTGTGGCATGTGGGGAGGGGTGTGTAGCAGGCAGGGCAGGGTGTGCTCTGGTTGGTTATTCTTGTTTCTAGGCTTCTGTCCTTCAACTGATCGCATTTGGTGACTGGCAATAATGACCAGCTGGCTTCATCCCCTCTGGATCGAGCAGCTTTAAGTGCTCGATGGTGCCTGGTGGTGGGTACTGAGTAAATGTGTGTTGAATGAATGGATAAGTGCACCCCTTGTAGCATGGCTCCGGGATCAGTGTGTTTTCTCCTGTGAGCCAGCCAGCCATCCTCCCAGCTGGGACACTGCAGGTAGCCTGGGCTCTGCTCTTACAGGGACTCTATATACACAGTGTTTTTGACTGAATGACTGATTGGCTAAATAAGACATGTGCGTAGCCCTCAGGTAGGCAGTCTCTCTTCTCAGGAATCACATTGATTTCTTGGTGTTTTCTTTTTCTTTTTTAATTGTTATACATGCTTTCTGAATTTAAGACCAACTCTAAGACATAGATGAGAAAAATACTTATCCCTCACAACTTAAGTCACAGGATCATGACATCGGGATGAATCACACACAGCATGTGAAGGAGCCTCGGGAGATCACCTGGCCCCAGGGTGCCATGGGTATTGTGGCGACAGCAATAATCCTTTAAGGGGAGCTAGAATCCTATTAAATCTGCTCCTTCTGTATTTAATGTCTGTGTTTACAAAAAAGGAGAGAACTCAGTGAATCTTCTTTTAAGGACTTGGTCTAAAAGAAAACAAGACAATGGAATGCTTTGAAATATTTTTATTAGGCATTTGTGTAAAACAGAGCATTGTGGATGCCAGAATGTTCGGATGTGGCCTCCACCATAGCGGGGTTCATGGTTTTTCACTACAGACCCATGAATGGGCTGCCGTTGACACTGCTCTCTGCTTCCGATGGTAGCTGTGTTTATACATGGTCAGCTGTGTTGTGAGTATATTTAGCTTATGATAAATGCCCGAGAGGATGAATATCATCTGTTTCCAGTTTAGTTGTATTTTGAAGCATGGTTCATTTTTTTCCGGATGAATGAATATTAAGCCTTTTCCACATCCTGGGGAAAGTTAGGGTTGGATTTGAAAGTATAAATTGCCAAACTTGTGGACATCAAATTAAAAGTGAATGTAAAGAGGTATTGATTCTATTTAGAAACATTTGTCAGAATATACTGTACTGTTCCATGAAAATAGCATGTTTTGGGTGAAAAATTAGATACCAATGTTGACAGACCAGAAATCATTTCATTCACAAGTTGAGTACTTGGATGGTTATGGCCTTTGTTAGAAATCATGTGTAAATGGTCTTGGTGACTACATAGTGTTTGCATATAAGATTTAAAACTTTTCAAAGCCACTTTTTATCCAAGTGTTGTCAGATCTCTAAGAGTGAGTTTCAGATCTCTAAGAGTGAGTTAACCTTGAAATTTGCATCTGCATAGGCAAAGCAAAATATATAAAATATTTTCAGCATTATCACTATCACAAAAGGATTCATTCCAGGCTACTGAAAAAGGAAGTTTAGCCAGTGGCATTTATTTATTAAGATAGTGATCTTCAAAGAAAAATTGACTGCCTTTAAGTAGATGTCAGAACCAGAGGGGATTTTACAATGATCGCACATCCCTTTTCTGTGTCTAGAGAGCTAGTGATGGTGAGGGACCGCTCCAAGGTTCCCTCTCTAACAAGTGGCCAAGTTGGGGCTGAACCCCAGACTTCCACTCTTTCTGCCTTATCCCTTTGTCTCCCTGAAGTGAGAATTTAAATTAGCAAGATAGATAGGTAGTGGTCTTAGTCTGTTCAAGCTGCTATAATAAAATACCCAAAACTAGAAAATTTATGAAGAACAGAAATTTATTTCTCACAGTTCTGGAAGCTGGGAGGTCCACGGTCAAGGCCCTTGGCAAATTTGGTGTCTGGTGAGGGCTGATCTCTGTTTCCAAGGCGATGCCTTGAATGCTATGTCCTCACACAGAGAAAGGGCAAGAAGGGCCAAATGCTATGTGAAGCCCTTTTTATAAGGTTTTTAATCCCACTTGTGAGGGAGCTGCCCTTGTGACCTAATCACCTCCTTAAGACCTCACCTCTCACTATAACAGTAGTCCCTTCTTGTCTGGGGTTTTGCTCTCTGAGGTACAGTACAATAAGATATTTTGAAAGAGGAGAAGAGAGAGGGAGAAGATGGAGGGAGACAGAGAGACCACATTCACTCAACTTTTATTATAATACATTGTTATAATTATTCTATTTTATGTTATTCATCTCTTACTGTGCCTAAATTGTAAATTAAACTTTATCATAGATATGTAAGTATGGGCAAAACATAGTATATAGTGTTTGATACTGTTTAAGTTTTCAGGCATCCATTGGGGGATCTTGGAATGTATACCCTGTAAGTAAGAAGGAACTACTGTGTTCAACTGGAGTGATTCAACATTAATTTTGGAAAGATACAAATATTCAAAACATAGCAGTAGTCCTCAGAATTTCTCTTTATGTATATATTTTAATAAGAGGACTGCTGTGTAAAGAATGGAATATAAACAAGGTTGATCATTTTTTTCTTGTGCTTCTACATGTCCATGTTCCTCTCACCCCATCTTCATCCTTTTCTCACTGCTGAGAAAAAAAAAATAGGTAAGAGAGGGTGTGTTTCAGCTTGCATTTGTGAGCAGATCAATGAACCTGGCTTCACAGCATAGAGGCCAGAAAGATTGCCTCTCTTGGTCTCACTCTGGTCTTGGTGCCACCAAGTAGCTTGATCTCTAATGGGCTGTCCAGGATAATGCTAGAGAAAGCTACCGTGGTCCCCTCACAGGTCTGCTCATTTATCCACCTTGTCATTTTAACCAAGCACCCCTTGTTTTCAATAAAATCTGAAAAGTCTGAAATGGAGTTAACTATATTATTTTAAAATGTAAAACAGTATTGGCTGGGTGTGGTGACTCACAGGCATAATCCTAGCCTACTGGGAAGCTGAGGCGAGAGGATTGCTCAAGCTCAGGAGTTCAAGACCAGCCTGAGGAAGAGCAACACCCTGTCTCTACTAAAAATAGAAAGATTTGTTGGACTTTGTGGAGAGTACCTGTAGCTTCAGCTACTTGGGAGGCTGATGCAGGAGAATCGTTCAAACCCAGGAGTTAGCAGCTGCTGTGAGCTAGGCTGACACCTAGCTTGGGGCAACAAAATGAGACTGTCTCAAAGGAAAAAAAAAAAGGCAAAATAACAGTGACTTGTTTCTTTCCATATCTTAGCAATAAAAAAACTTAGAATGTCGCTTTTCAAGGTGTGATATGTTTGGATGTCAACAATGTAACTTTGAGATGAAGGAAAATATATAAAAATCATTTCACAGATTTTTTTCCAGTAAACAAAATTGTGCTTGGAAAGATTATATTTTATTAAGCCAAAACCTCTTCTTTTATATCTATATTATAAAAATGTATAGGTTATTATAAGTAAGAAAAAAGGATTTGTCTTAGATCAAAATTCTTAAATTGTTGGAACTAAGAATAAAGTAATAGCTATCATTTGTGAAACATTCTATGGTTCAGTAACTTGCCTGAGGTTCTTACTACTGAAATATATTGTCTTTATTGTCTGTTCAAAGGGATACGTTTACTAACTCTTTGGTAAAGCTCCTGGTTCTGCTTTAACTGTGTTCGATTCTTGTTAAAAGCTTAGGGGAATATGAGTCCTTGGTGCATTGATTGAAATGCATTTTTCAATGATTGATACATCATGAAAAACAGAAATTGAAAGTTATACTTTTTTCTAATGTATCAGTTGGGATGCCTTTTCTTCTTGAATGATTACAATTGATTTTTTAATAAAAAAGGAAAGAGATTTAGAAATCCAAACAATTATCTATTTCTTGGTATTTTATTCCTAATGAAAACGATACTCTGATGTTCAAGAATATAATGATATGAGTTGGAATTTTTTTTTAAAAAACATCTCTTAAGAAAGCTTTGGCTCTCTTGATGGTTTTGCACCTATATTAGAGAAACTAATTAGAATGGTCTAGATGGGCACACCCAGAAGTTCTAAAATGTTCTCAAAGGGAGGTTATAAATGTCAGGCACAAAGTCTGAAAGATCACATCCTCCCCGTGTCCATTAGTGATGGCACCCAGTAGATCACACCCTGACATGCTAAGTCAGTCTTTCCACAGGCAAATGCCTTTAATCATTCCTTCCTTCTGACACCCTCCTGCCCTGTGAGTCTAACCGATATATTAGTCTCATTTATTGACTGACTTTATTGTGATTTCTTATTGTTGTTAAATCTAAGGTAGCTCATTTGATGCTTGTGCTGACAATGAAGGTCCACTTTCTCATGTGTCCCTTCACTGGAACCCCATGTCCTCTTCCAAGTTTATAAACATGAGTTAGAAGTCAGTGGCAGTCTCCTGTTGTGTTCGCCTCTACCTTCTTTCTCTAGGGGAGTGCACTTTGCTGAGCCCCCCACCCATCCCAACATGCACTCGCTTTTCCAGAAAGCACTATTGACAAAGACTGCACCCAAGTCATGGAAATCTCACAGGGCTCCACCACTAGAATGGGTGGGGAGTAAATGATTTAAGGACAGAGTCCTTTAGGATATTTGTGTTCAGTGTTGGTGTTTTGCTTGTTTCTTTCAGATCATTTTGACTTTGGTTTCTTGGAACCATCCACTAGTGACAGATACAAAGTAAGTGTACATTTAATTTTTCTTCCAATTCAGCTATAAATGGAAATCTTGGTTTTATTCACTGGTATTTATCAGTAAATAATAGCATAAGGAATGGAAAATCCATTAGAAAAGATATTAAACCCCTTCTTTAAAATGTATGGAAATGACACATGGATACAAATGAAATAAATATAGCACTGCCTGTCACCCCCAAATATTACCTGTAGCATAGTAAGGTACATTTGCATGAGTGGAGTGGTTTTGATGTGACATCTTCCTCCCAGGCATCTGCCAGAGTCCTTTTATGGGGCACATCATAGCAGCCTCCAACTTCATGTTAAATTGGGTCATAGTCCAAGAAATATCTTGAAGGGCATTAAGCACCAATTGGCATCTAGCAGAGAGTCTGGCACCTCATAGGCACATAAGAGATATTTGTTAGAGAGTGAATGAGTTAAATACTTTGCCCCTTTTGTGTGGCAGTTCTGTGAGGGCTTCACCACCACCATGAGGCAGTGTGAGCAGTAGTTAGTGCTCCAAGTTAGGATCCAGATACACTGAGGTTCAATTCCTGGCTCTGCCACGTATTATCTGGATGACTATGGGTACACGTCTGAATCCCTCTGTACCTTGGTTTTTCCATTTATAAAATAATACGAATACTGGGCTCGGTGCCCATAGCACAGTGGTTATGGTGCTGGTTATGGCGCCAGCCACATGCACCAAGGCTGGCAGGTTGGAGCCCAGGCTGGACCTGCTAAACCACAATGACAACTGCAACAAGAAAATAGCTGGGCATTGTGCCAGGAGCCTATAGTCCCAGCTCTTTGGGTGGTTGAGGCAAAAGAATCGCGTAAACCCAAGAGTTGGAGGTTGCTGTGAGCTGTGATGCCATGGCACTGTATGGAGGGCAACATAGTGAGACTGTCTCAAAAAAAAAAATATATGAATACTATCTTTTTGTTGTTGTGAGATTATTAAAAGGATTAAGTAAGTTAACATTTATAAACTTATTATACTTAAACAGTAAGTACTGCAAAAAGGTTTTTCAAATAAATGAAAATGAATTGAGAATATAGTGACATCCCAAGATCCAATATTTAAAGGTTGGAAAACAGGTGATCTAGAAACAATGAACCTCAGTGACAATAAGCACACCTATGTCCCAGATCTTGTTTTCTAATGCTATTTTCCAATAAAGAGAACCAGGGATCTTTGGAGAAATGGCTGTTTAGGTCTGGGGCAAGAAATTTATAAGATGAATCTGGAGCATTTTACAATGCCAGAGAGCAAGTAAGTGCTTTTGGATACAAAAGAAATCAATAGTTATGAGTGTGTGTCAAGGGGACACAAGAGCCAACTGAAATGCTCCCAGTGGTCAAAGATGGGAAATTTGAGTAATAAATGAAAAAAGAATGGAAAGAAGGAAGAAAAAGATGGAAGGGAGGGAAAGAAAGAGAGAGAGAGAAAGAGAGAGAGGGAGGGAGGGAGAAAGGGAGGGAGAGAATCAAGAAGTATTGGGATATAACCTTAAGGCAAAAATGCAAGTAAATGATTGAAGGCCAGACTCAGTAATCCTAGCACACTAGCAGGCAGAGGCAGGTGGATTGCTTGAGCTCTTGAGTTCAAGACCAGCCTTAGCAAGAGTGAGACCCTGTCTCTAAAAATTAGCTGGGCGTTGTGGGAGGTGCTTGTAGTCCCCGCTACTTGGGAGGCTGAGGCAAGAGGATCTCTTGAGCCTAAGAGTTTGAGTTTGCTGTGAGCTAGGCCACCATGATACTCTACCAGGGAGACAAAGTGAGATTCTTTCTTAAAAAAAAGAGAGAGAGAGAGAGTAGAAAAGGGAAAAGTAAATAAATGATTGAATAAATAAGTGAGGAAAATGGGTAAATCTCCCATGCGAAAGAATTCCAAATAATGTATAAATAATGCGTGTAGATACTCTTCCTTTCAACAGGTAAAGCATAACTCTGGGGCTGCTGGGGGAGCTGCATATAGTGCCTTTCTTCCAAAGAGCACAGTATGGAAAGAAAGAAAGAAAAAGAGTAACTTTATGATGGAGGAATCTGACAAATACCACCTCAGGCTGAGCGATTAAGCCTTATAGGGAGTAAGTACCTTGATGTGATATAATGAGGGCACTTTGCCTGTGTAATCTTCCTCCCAAAATATATTACCTAAGTCTAATCATAAGATACACATAAGACAAATTCCATTAGAGGGATATCCTGCAAAATGACTCCTACTCCTCTAAACTGTTAAGGTCATCAGAAACAAGTGACAGCCGAGAGACTGTCAAAATCAACAGAAGCCTAAGGAGACATGATGACTAAATGTTTTGTAGGATCCTGGAATGGAAACAGGACATTGGGTTAAAAACTAGAAAAATTTGAATAAATTATGCTGTGTAGTTAACAATAATGTATCCGTATTGCTTCATTAAGCATGATAAGTGTGCTGCACTAACGTTAAATGTTGATATGGGGGAAATCTACATGTGTGGTATTCTAGAACTCTCTGTACTATCTTACTGATCTGTAAATCTAAAACTATTTGAAAATAAAACATTTATTTTAAAAATAGTGAAGCACACACACCAAAAACAAAAAGCAATAAAGACAAACCAAAAACCTATTTTGGTGGTATGTGCTCTGATTTCTAAGTACCAGAATAAAAATATTTTAATATTTTGATAAATGTTTAATCCAATCTGTGTTTCAAGAGTCACACATGGGAAATTATATTCTGCAATAAAGTTTTAAATTGGATAAAGTTTATAAAGCTTTCTAGTATAAAGTTTTAAATTGGATGAAACATATAAAGCTTTCAACTATGTTTCTGTTATCCTTAAAAGGAGGAAGAAAATAATAATTGTCAAAGAAAAACTTCTTTGCAAGAATGACTGCTATCTGAGTCCAAAATGGGTTATGACTTGTGCATTAGTTGTGTATTGCTGCATAACCAATTACCACAAATATAGCGACTTAAAATGATGTGTATTTTTTGTCCCAGAGCTTCCATGGGGCAGGCATCTGGGTACAGCTTAGCTCACTCTTCTGCTTAGGGTCTCATAATGGTGTGATCAGGGTGTTGACTCAGGGTGTTGAATATTTTTCTTCCAAGCTCACATGGTTTTTAGCAGAATCGAGCTGAGATTATAGGACTGAGGTCCCACTTACTTTCTGGCTGTCATCTGGGACCATTCTCCATCCTAGGAATCATCTGTAGCTCCTTGTCATTTGGTATCTTGTCACAACATGGAAGCTTATTTCTTCGAAGGCTGCGAGAGAAACTCCCACTGCAGTCTGCCACCCTGGAGTCTCATACATATAGCAAGTAACCTCATGAAGGCAGTGACTGTCTTGTCGGCTTTGCAGTATTCTATTGGCTGAAGCAAGTCACAGGTTGTGCCTGTGCTCTGTGGGAGGGGATCACGGGAGGGCATGTCTCAGTGGGGATCGTCTGAGGATGTGTCCAGTGCAACATGAGAGTGATAAAACAGACGCAAGTGGCTGGGCATTCAGATTCTACCCTGGTTGGGCAATCTAAGGGAGCAGAGGCAGGTTGGGAATACTTGCTTCTTGCTCCTAAGCAAACTACAACTTGAGGCAAATAAATAGGCTTCCTCTCATGCCCCCCCAAAAGTTGTTAAACACTCCTTAGGGTAATCAAATGAGACTTAGGATTATTCAAAGATGAAGGAGTCAGAGGAAAATGTCTGGAGAGAGCTCATAAATACATCACCATTTCCTTTACTGGTACTTTTTTATTTTTAGCAGTGAAGAAATTTGCACAAAAATATGCTCTTGACTCCATGGTAACAATGTTTATGCACCTTAAAAACTCACTTTATGAAAGTTCAAATAACGTGATCTCATTTTCAGCTTTTCATAATTATTATTTTTGAGATAGTTTGTTTTTAATATTTAAAAATTCTGTCTGCTAATATTTGCTAATAGAATGATATTGTCCAGGTTATTTTCTTTTACATTTTACATGATGTTTATTAATTTGTATATTTCAAATGCATTGACTATTTTTACCAGTTTCTTTCTGAGAGTTCTGAATCCTTATAAAATACTAAGTATAAAAATACTGGTATTTCTATTTGCTTCAGTGTTATAATCACCACCCAGATTTTTAGGACCTCAGAATTTTTTTCCTGGGTGCTCTTTATAACACCAACTGTCTCAGAAATCCTAATATTTAATTATCAGAAGTACATTTGCCAAGTTGCTGCTTGCGTCTGGAAACAAAGCACAAACTTCTTTCATTAGCCCTTGTTCCTGATTGTGGGCTTGGACCAGGTCATCACTGTGTCCACAAATATCCACAGAGGTTACTACAAGTATCAGGGCACTTAACCTTTGCCATCTATGTCCGGATATGCAGCCACCTTGGAGAGAACAGATCACTTGTGGAAACGCAGCTCATTAGCAGCTAAGTTGGAAAGAAAAGGAAATATAGGAAATATATATCATAATAGTATAAGAAACTTGTCAGAGGAAGAATTTCTTGTGGCTCCTTCTCCCCTCTCCTCCTCTTTCCTTTTCAAATCTCTGTCTACCCATATTTTTCTTGTTCCTACTTACTGACAGTAAGCCTTAGGCTGAGCTATTGGTTCCTCTGAGGCCAAGGGGTACAAAGGGTAGTTATTCAGCATTGTGAGAACATAATCACCTGTAGCTGTTGGTAAAATAACTCATTTAGCAGATAAAGGTCAGAGCTTCCTTCCTTCCTTCCTTCCTTTCCTCCTCAGGGTTGTTTTCTTTGTAGAAATTAAATAAAGGGGTCTTTTGACAAAATACAAAATAAGTTAAAGTAAATAGAAGTAACCTTTCCTGTTTGTGAGGGAAGCTTTAAGTGAAAGCCCAGAAGAAGAGCAGCATTTGTCTTTGAGTAGAAGGTCACAGAGGTATATGATTCTTGAGCAGAGCTGGAGTGAGTGGAAGGTCGTGGGGTTTATCAAGGTGTTGGTCATGGTCATCAGATCTCTTCCTCATGGCTTTAACTGAGCT